TTTCTCCTTCCTTTCTTCTTCCTTCACCCCGGCTATGTCTTTCACTTTCCTCCTTCGTCTCTCCCTTCTTCTGCCTCGGTTATGGCTTCTCTCTCCTTCGCCCCTCCCTCCTTCACCAGGTCTTCTTTCTCCTTCCTTTACCTTGTGTCCGAGCTTGGCGGCTATGGGCGCCACAACCCACTTCAACCTCGGGCTTCTGCAGACCACCTCGCACAAGACGCCTGGCAGCGCTTCCGCATGGCTCACGCAGGAATGAATGGATGGCTAGACGCTGCCTCTTGATTTATATTTATGTAAGTCGTTGGTCTGCCCTTTTCCACCGGGCCCCTGGTGCACATAGTCCCACATGGTACTTGCTGACTGGACAAAGTGAGACTAGGACTGGGTACCGCTGACTAAGCAAAGTTGGACTCACCACTTGCCCACTTGCCTCTGGTCTGCTGTGAGTAACGTGAGAAAAACACGAAAGGCCACTTTCGGACCTTCCGAAAGTCTGCGTGTTTGGCCTTTCGAGAATGTAGCAGCTTCAACCTTGACCTTTCAGGACTGTAGCAGCTTACGACCTCGACCTTTCAGAATTGCTACAGCTACGGCCTCTACTCATCTATGACCCCTACTCGACAGACCTACAGATCGAACCCCTACAGCTACACAGACTTACGACAGACAACATTCAACTACCAAAACACAGGTCACGGGTTCAAACTTAAACACACAGAAGTCGACTCTATACTGTACACGGGTAAGGTGAGGTCTAGGGATCGAGCCCTGGGAAGGTGAAAAAACGTCTCACTCCAGATACATCGAGGGGGTGAGGCATTTTATACATTCAAATTCCTCAATTTCATGAGTTTTGGGCAAAAAAACGAGATTTCAATTTCGTTCAGAAAATATAATATCATATTAAGTTATTAATATGCCCAGGGTAACCGACGTTCGGGAAGAGCCGAACGCCCGAACGTATGGGACCCCTTGGGGATGCGTTCGGTCATTCGGGCCGAACGCGGACCCAAAAAAAAAAAAAATAAAAAAAAAAAAAATAAAGTAAAAAAATCTGAAAAAAAAAAATGTTATGAAGAAAAATAAATTAGACAAGATTTGCCTGAGCATTACATCCAAATTCCTTACCAAATTTGAAATAAAAATAAAATACGAAAAACAAGTATGCAAGGAAGATGAGCAATAGAGAACTTCAACAATTAAACAGCATCATACATATCAGTCCACATAGTCATGACCTCGAACCAACAGCAGAATTGCATCATGAGTTTCACCAAATAAGAACACACCAAGAGTTCATAATTGACAATGCTGAAATAGTCCCATCATCATTATCACCGAAGAACCAGAGTTGATATCCTATCTGGTGCTCGGCGCCCAGACTACATGTGGCAGATCCTATCTAGCCTATACTACAATGCCGAAGTTGACGACAACAGCTCTCCTGAAGTACGAGCATACAGCGACCAATGTCGCACGCTTCCAGCACCAGGTATGTCTCTCGCCTTACTCACAACCTCGTTCCCCAACACACAGATGCCACTTGCACCCAAGGACCACCCTGCGCCACACCCAGCTTACAGCAGCGCAGCTTGGCTATGGCTGCATGCTCCTTCCCTGCTCGCCCGTGAGCGCGTAGGCGCCAGCCAGCAAATAGCGCAGCAGCGCTTGCGCAACATGCAGCCAGCACCCGAATGCCAAATGAGGAGGCAGGCCCTTTGCTATATCGAAGTGGCCTGCCTGCGTCCAGTCCCAGGAAGCTTCCAGTAGGCCCCGGTAGCCTGAGGCCCAACACGATCGAGAGCAGGCATGGGGCCTGAGGTGGTTGCATGCACCCAACTGCCTTTGGCATGTGTCTGGCCCAGTACCTGTATCCAGCCCAGGGCATGCTTTCCATACATTCACATAGGCGGCCCAGGGCCGGGGTTCTTTTCAACCAACCGGCGCTGCGCAACTACCTGAATTTCCTTGCGCAGAGGTCGAAATAAGGCCCTGAGGGGCCTCGTCGAGCCTGCCTTCACTTAGGGCGGCGGACAGGCTCCCGAAAAGGGGCCAAATGGGGCTCATAGAGGCAATGGCCTCGCATTCCCTCCTCCTTAGCTTCAACAGTCCTCTGAGAAGCTCAGTCTTCGACCATCGGGCTCTTTCCTTTCTGCAGAGATTTCTCATAGTGGGCTACAACTTGTGGAGCGGTCTGCATCAGTTCCTCCCTCGTGAACCATCTGTCCTCTTTTGGATCTGTGTGATGTCTGAACCGACCATGATATTGCAGCTTCGCTTTCGGAGGACGTCCTCTGCCTGTCAATCTTGGAACTAGCATTTCCTGATGGTCAACAATATCATCGATGTCGGCCTCTCCATCCATGGTTGGGGGCAGCATTGAGCGACGAGATGGAAACTGATCTGTTTCTTTAAAAGGTGCGAGCTTTGAAGCGTGAAAAATAGGGTAAGTGCATAAGTGACCAGGGATGCGAACAACATAAGACGGCCCATCTGGTTCCCCCTCGACAACATCCAGAATCTCCCATGGTCCAAAGTACTGTGGCATGAGCTTGCGGGAGATCCCGTGCTCCTGTCCCAGTTCTGAGGACTTGACCCAGACTCTCTCTCCAACCTGAAACGTGGATGGGCGGCGGTGTTTGTTCTCAGACTCTATCATCACCGCCTGCGCCTTGTGCATGTGCAAAACAACCTGCTGCATCAGCTGCTCTTATCGATAAGCAAACTCTAAAGTTCCAAGTGCAGCAGAGGGCTGGTTGTCAGGTAGTAAGAAATCCAAGGGCAGTCTAGGCTTAAAAGTTAGTAGAAGACTATTCGGGCTCACGCCCGTTGCGCTGTGGACCGCGTTATTGTACAGGCTGGCAATGAGAGCAAGTTTCTAATCCCAGTCTACCTGATTTGGCTTAATATAATGCCTCAGCAGGTGTTGTACATCGCGGTTCAACTGTTCTGCTTGTCCATTTGCCTCGGGATGGTTTCCTGATGTCATTTGCAGCTGCGTTCCCTGTTCTGCAGCTGCGGCTTTCCACAATTCACTTGTGAATCGCACATCACGGTCACTGACTATAGACTTTGGTAGTCCAAAATCCCTAACCCAGTTCTCCTTGAACAACTTAATCACATGCTCAGTCTTCGCTGTCTCAGGCATTGCAACTAATCTAGCAAACTTACTAAACCTATCCACAATGACGTAGATGTATCGCATTCCACTCTTGCTGGTGACCAGCATATCCATGAAGTCCATGGATAGACTCTCACCAGGCCTTTCTGGAATCCGAAGGGGCTTCAAGAGCCCAAGAGGAGCCTGGGTACGTGGCTTGTCCCACTGACAGACCTGACAAGTCTCCACGTACAGCTTCGCATCTCTCATCATCGTGGGCCACTAGAACCGCTGCAACAGATTGGCTGCAGTCTTCTTAAAGCCAAAATGTCTGGTGACATCATGACATTCTCCTAAAAATAAACTACGCAAAGACTCCCTATTAGGAACACACAAACGTTTATTCCTAGCCTTCTCAAGGAACAGCAAGCCRTTAGCCAACTCAAACTCGGCAGAAGTCATTTTGTCCTTCGCCTCGAGTCTGCGGATGATCTCAGACATGAACGGGTCCTCGCGATAGGCTTCCACCATGGACTGAGTAACATTGTTCGCAAGCCCAAACTCAGTGATCAGCGCACCTGAGAAATCGGGTCTACGCGACAAGGCATCAACAACCTTGTTGTACTCGCCCTTGATGTATTGGGACTCGAAGTCATACTGCTCTATGACTTCGATCCAACGCTTGAGAGCGTCAGAGAGTACCAGCTGAGTTCTCATCCATCTCAGGGTCTGATGATCAGTCCTGAGGATGAAGAACCTCCCAAGGAGATAGTGTCTCCAATGGGTCAGAGCCTTGTACACCTCATAGAGTTCCTTCTCATAGGTGGACTTTGCCAACTTCTGAGACGGCATCTTTTTGGACATGTACTCGACAGGCCTCAACTTTTTCCCCTCCTGTTGGGCAAGTACGACGCCTATGCCAAATTGGCTAGCATCCGTAGTTACTATAAATGGCTTATCAGGATCAGGAAGTTTCAAGACTTCGTAATGCGTCAACACATGCTTCAGATGTCTGAACGCAGCCTCGCATCTCTCAATCCACTCCCATGGGGTGTCAAGGCGGGTCAAATCAGTCAAAGGGGCGGCAACTATGCTATAGTTCTGCACGAAATTGCGATAGTAGCCGGTCATCCCTAAGAAAGATCTCATCTCAGTCACAGACTGAGGACGAGGCCAGTCACGAATGCTGGCCACCTTTGCATCATCGGGCTTCAACCCTTCCGCGGAAATCTCATGACCCAAGTACAAGACATGGGTGCGGCCAAACTCGCACTTCTCACCGTTGATCTTGAACTTGTGTTGTCGCAGGAGACTGAGGACTTTGTCCAGATGTGCAACGTGCTCCTCGACAGTCTTACTAAAAATAAGTACGTCATCGAGGTACACGATGACAAACTTATCCAAGTAGTCATGGAATATCCGATTCATAGGGTGCTGAAAGGTGCCAGGAGCATTGCAAAGGCCGAAAGGCATCACCACAAACTCGTACAGAYCGTACCTGGTCTRAAAGGCGGTTTTGTGTYGATCCTCGGGCCGGATTGCAATCTGATGGTACCCGGACTTCAGATCTATTTTACTGAAGTACCGACACCCTTGCACTCTATCTAGCAAATCGTCGATACGCGGTAGGGGCTCTCTGTTCTTAACAGTGATGGCATTGAGGCCCCTATAGTCAATGCACATCTCAAGTGTTCCCCCCTTCTTCTTAGGTGCGAATAGTACTGGAGACCCATAAGAAGAGACACTCGGTCGGATCCAACCCTTCTCTATGAGTTCCTTGAGTTGTCGGTGACGCTCATCGAGCTCGCCTGGAGACATCCGATAGATCCTACCCTTCGGGACACTAGACCCTGGGATAATCTCTATTGCATGGACGACCTCCCTCTCTACAACCCCTGTCGGCTCTTCAAATAGATCAGGGTACTTGGCAACTACTCCCTCTATCTCCTGCGGCATTTTCACCAGCTCACCTGCGGCAGAGACATAAACTAGATACATACCCTCCTCCTGATTTTGCTTATAATAGTTATAGAACGCGGCCACACACATGCATCCGTGGGACTCAGTCAAACTATTAGCTTTAAACTTACGTAATCTAGCGGTCCCTCCACCTGGCAAAGTGTGTGTTGACCACTTTTCGGTCCCAGTCAAACTGGGGTTGTGCCACAGAGAGGTAGTGCATACCTAACAACATGTCCATGGGGAGTTCATCGCTCACTAGGAACGAGACGCAATGTCTCAATTCCCCTCCCGCGTACGGGAAACAACACTCAACGTTTTTAAGGTAGTCGTTGACTACCATGCGCTGTTTGTTGGCACTAGTTGACTCCACAGGTCGACTCAGACGCTGCACTTGCCCCTTTAAGTGCAGCCTCTCAACGCATGCGCGACTAATAAAGTTCCTAGTCAAGCAAGTGTCATAATAAGCCCCGGCCTTGCGGCCGCCAATGACAACCTCGCTGACGAACATCTCACCCTTCGGGGCTTTGACTAGGGTCGTCCAAGAAGCTAGCAGGTCTGATCTAGACCACTCCTCCTCTAGCTCCTCTAAGGACTCAAACACATTCATCGAACAGAGGCTCGATGGGTCTGAACGTGTTTGTGGGACAACGCTGGAGTCAGTAGCTTGGGCCATCTCTCGAGATGGTGAGGTTGTCTCCACCACCTCGACCCTCGCAGAAACAGCTACTATTCCTACTGGCCCGACGTGTTTCCCGGAGCACTGCCAGAAGTACTAGCTACGTTGCTACCAACGGGATGGTAGGATCCCAACGCCTGCCCCATCGTAGGCGGGATCTTCTCGGTCACCTTCTTGTTCCGACACTTGAATTGGCTATGGCAATATTGGCCACAACGAATACAAGCTTGCCGGGTGTACCGGTCTCTCCACACGTCCTCAGTGAGACCCGCTTTCTCCCATGGAGGAGCATTGGGGTCAACTTGACTCCTAGACCGGGAACCTCCACGGCGTCTACCGGTCGCCGTACCTTTCTGAGTTACAGCAGTGACTACTCCACCCCCTGAAGCTTCTACGCTGCCTGCCTCTGCACCTACTCCTTCCTGGAAGTTGTTGTCTAACTCGATGGTCAAACCATCGTTATCGACAAACATAATGCGCCCCTTCGCCTTCCAGTAAGAGGCAGTGTCTTCCCCCTTCTGTCTGTAGTGGGTGCCTGTCCATGCCCTATCTTCGCTTCAAGGTCGAGGGCCTTCTTGCTAAACGAAGGAAAGTTGTGCATATTGATGTTGGCCTCACCTGCCAACTGGTTCCTGAGAGGCAAGGAGAAGCATCTCAGGTAGGAGGTGAGTAGTACCTTGGGGTCATAGCACACCCCTGGGACACATATCAAATGCTCAACAACGCCGGTGGCTTCCCTTACTGACTTGAACTGCCGCGTGTGCAGTGTCAGGATCGCGTCAGTGGCCCTTTGAGCCTCCTGAGGATCATTCCACCTTTCCTCCACCAGCTTAAGGAAGTCATCCAATTTTTGGGTGACCGCCCAAGCGCGGAAGTCATGACCATACCCCTGGAGCTGCACTAAACCACTCAACCATCTTGCTGGACTACCCTCTAGGTAGGAGGCAGCCATAAGCACTTCTTCGTGCGGCAAGGTAAGTTTACACCTAACAGAGACTTGCCCTCAACCACGTGTCGAGATCTTCACCTTTCTTATCCCCTGTGAAGGGTTTCGGAGCGGCGATGGCCGTCTTTGGAACCCACTGTGTTTGTCCCGGTCCCTGCATCACTCCGGGCTGTGGACCCTATGACACAGTTTGTTGTGCTAGCTGCTGGGGCTGTGTACCCTGCGGCTGTACGAGTTGCAAGACAGCAGGCTGCGTGGTAACCTCAACCTGCAACGGAGATTGGGTGAACACTGACTGTACAGGAACCGGCAAACTAGTTCCTGCTGATACCCCTCCTGATAGCGGCATTCCCACGGAAACGATCGCAACTGATGATGGGGCTACATATGGGGATACCCCAGTCACCGGTGGGACAAAAGGAGGAGGCTGTACAACGGGCCAGGCATCAGGCCCGAACATTGGCGACGTTGCCTGCGCTCGCCCAACCAACAGGGCCAGACTTTGCTGAATGTCCTGAAGGATGGTTGTCTGATGGTCCTGCATCTCAACTACATTCAGCAGGACGGACCATATGAGCCTCACATCATCAGTCACATGCGTAAGGTCCATCTCCTCTAACTCACTAACGTCCGCTTCTGTCCTAATGCATGTTGTAGTTGTGCCTCTTGCAGGGCTGCCTGCTATATGGCGATCTCATCGGAGGTCAACACTAATGGATGGCTTGCCATTACACCAGCGGACTGACTCTGGGTCTGCGCGACCATTGACCCGACAGGTCCTGAACTACCGACCTGAGTAGTCTGCTGCGCAGAAGTGGCCATGGCTTCCGAAGCTGCAGCTTCACTCACAAGTGCCCTGCTAGCCTCTTCTACTGTAGCCCTCCTCTGCTGCTGCAACCTCTCTCTACGCCGGCGGAACAGATATCTGTCACCCTCTGGACCTAATGCCAAATGGGCTACTGGGCGCCTTGCCGATCGCAAGATCCGGTCGTCCTCTCTAGTGTCCTCCTCGTCGCTCATAAGCTACAACACTGTACACAATCTGCACTAATACACACTGGATGCTTACCGCAGCGTAGTGCACAAACCAACTAAGTGGTTGCTATTTTGGAGGAGACATCACTTGGGGTCAACAAGTAAGTCAAATTCCTACAAATAAAACTATTTTTAGTTTGATTAGTCCGGAAACAGAAGCACCATGAACAAGAAACAGTTCTAACTAATGTTGCCTGTCAAATGTCAATGGTTGTACACCTAACTAATCAAAACATAAAAATAGAATCACTTGTGTGGATAGGACAGCATGGAATTTACTCGAACTTATCACCTGAAATATACCCCTCCCTTAGTTCCCCTGAATGTCACTTGACGTCAGTGTCCCTGAGCAATCCAGAGGCGTTGCGCGTCTAAAAGGTGTGTGTTCGGCCAACCCCTGTGCCCCGAGTATCTGCTGAGTTGGCCAGCCCTGCACTGGATTATCCTCGCGTGCAGCGAGCCTTACAACCATTGGCTGATCCAGAGGCAATTTAATGTCCGCCCCCAAGTGACTCCAGGAATTATTTTACATCGCAGTCGGACGACGATCACAACCAATGGTTCCCCTTCCGGTGCTTATTTAAAGACGCCCGGTCTCGTCTCCCTCGTAGGGCTGGCTTGCCCTTCAGTACCCACCTAACAGCGCAACAAGCCAAACAAAGGACAAGCAGCAAAGCATGCATGCTCTACTCCCGGTGGGTTGGCATGGTGACTGTGACCCAGTGCTTCGTCCAGTGCCCTTCAGAAAGCTCCGCCCATCTTCTCCCAGATGCTCCACGTGAACATTGCCGACTCTCAAGGTTGATCGCACTCGACACCTCACAATGAGAGGACTCTCAAGAAGGAACACACGACCTCACGGTAAGAAGTGTCGAAGAGGGTAGATAAGGTTAAGAGCAACGTACCTCAAATAGATGCCCTCAACCACAAAGATAATCTCACCAGATGACCTGATGGCGATTGCGATGACCAGTCATTGCATCGACACAACCAGCATTATCTCGCTGTTCCACCTCTGCATCAATCGCACATTAGATAGTTCTCATCACACTGTCCAGACCACATTACCCGACGTAGCCTTCCTGGCGATCCCCTCACCTCCTGGGTCGCCTATCACTTGTCTCCGCCCTCCTCACTACACACCACTTACGGCCAAACTCGCCAAGCAGACCGCATGTATGTACCGCATAAGGCAGAAGACAAGCGCCAGATGAGCGCAATCATACCACAACTCCGATACCAAATTGCAAGGAAGATGACCAATAGTGAACTTCAGCAATCAAACAGCATCATACATATGAGTCCAGATAGTCGTGACCTCGAACCAACAGCAGAATTGCATCACGAGTTTCACCAAATAAGAACACACCAAGAGTTCATAATTGACAATGTTGAAATAGTCCCATCATCATCATCAACGAAGAACCAGAGTTGATATCCTATCTGGCGCTTGGCGCCCAGACTACATGTGGCTGATCCTATCTAGCCTATACTACAATGTCGAAGTTGACGACAACAGCTCTCCTGAAGTACGAGCATACAGCGACCAATGTCGCACGCTTCCAGCACCAGGTATGAATCTCGCCTTACTCACAACCTCGTTTCCCAACACACAGATGGCACTTGCACCCAAGGACCACCCTGCGCCACACCCAGCTTACAGCAGCGCAGCTTGGCTATGGCTGTCTGCTCCTTCCCTGCTCGCCCGTGAGCGCGTAGGCGCCAGCCAGCAAATAACGCAGCAGCGCTTGCGCAACATGCAACCAGCACCCGAACGCCGAATGAGGAGGCAGGCCCTTTGCTATATCGAAGTGGCCTGCCTGCGTCCAGTCCCAGGAAGCTTCCAGTAGGCCCCGGTAGCCTGAGGCCCAGCATGATCGAGAACAGGCCTGGGGCCTGAGGTGGTTGCATGCACCCAACTGCCTTTGGCATGTGTCTGGCCCAGTACCCGTATCCAGCCCAGGGCCTGCTTTCCATACATTCACACAGGCGGCCCAGGGCCTGGGTTCTTTTCAACCAACTGGCGCTGCGCAACTGCCTGAATTTCCTTAGTTGCGCAGAGGCCGAAATAAGGCCCTGAGGGGCCTCGTCGAGCCTTCCTTCACTTAGGGCGGCTGGCAGGCTCCCAAAAAGGGGCCGAATGGGGCTCATAGATGCAGTGGCCTCGCAAATACTAATAATAAAAATAACAAAAAATAAAAAAGAATTAAATTTAGCGAGTGCACGAGCACATTTTCGACACTGCCATCTTTGGCGATTTTTCATTTTTTTTTTGGCATAGCTAAATGCCCTGAACATTTACAGATGTCAACTTCACATAATGCAAAACCCACTAAAAAAGTTTCAAAAAATAATAAAATTGTTTAGACCCTGAACGAAAGTGAAAACAAAAAGTAAAAGGTGAAAAAAAACGTGGGCGAGCACGTTTTGAGACCGCCATCTTTG